GCTATGACGGATGAAGAATTCAACCAGATTTATTCTGGTAGAGGAGACGCGAATCTCCCCACTCTTGATAGTCTATTCGAGGATGTTGATGAAGCAGGACTGGATAATCTTGACGGGGACGATGAGCCTACACCGCAAAGCAACGACGTCGACGTGGAGGCAGGTGAGCCCGAGACCTCTCGAGGTCCGGACAAAGGTAAGAAAAAATATAAATCAGAATTATTTGTTTATCATTTTGACAAAGACACAAAAGATGGCATAGTTTATGGAACTTGTAAACATTGCGGGACCGTCATAAAAATGGGAGTTTCCGGCGGTTATGGCGGTCCGGAAAAACACCTAAGGTCGAGGCATCCCGTGGAGTACGCCAAATACGAGGCCAAAAAAAGGGACGACAAGAAGTGCAAACCCAAATTTCTCGGTTTGCTAACAGAGGTAAAGGCGGCCTTTTTGCTTATAGCGATGAGCAAAATAGGCAAAAAATGGCCGAAATGATTTGTGAAGAAAATTTGCCATACATGTTTTCTGAAAAACTTGGTTTTATTGATTATTGTCAACAGGCATTAAACCCTCAAGCACGAGGTTTTTCAAGAAAAACAATTAAACGAGAAATTATTCGCCAGTATAAAATGGAAAAAATTAATTTGGCAAATTTTTTCTCAATTTTAATTCTCGTGTTGCTATTTGTTCTGATATTTGGGGTGAAACTTATTATAATTTGTCTTATATGGGTGTTACTTGTCATTGGATAGATAGTGATTGGATTATGCATAAACGTGTTCTTGCATTTCGTGATTTCAATGATCAGCATACTGCTGAAAATATTTTCCTATTGCTTCAGAGTATTCTGCGGGAATATAACTTATCTGAAAAAGTTTTTTCATTTGGTTTTAATAATGCTACTAACAATACAGCTGTTATTCCTAGACTTAGAGAAATTTGCCCACCGTCTACGACTATGGGTAGATTTCTGCATCAACGGTGTGTCTGTCATGTTTTAAATTTATGTGTTCAACAAGGACTACAAGCTATGGGCGGAGTTTTGACAACTATTAAAGAAGGAATTAAAAAAATTTGGGGGGCTCGTCTTATTTCGAGATCTTGGAAGATGTTCTGTAAGTCTAAGGGTAAAAAAGAAATAAGTTTTGCCAGAGATATCAACATTAGATGGAATAGTACTTACAAATCGATTGCACAGATCCTAAGATATAAAGAGGAACTTGCTGAATTTTTTAGGAATGAACTTCGTATAATCATTAATTCTTTTGAATTTGTTATTGTTGAAAAATTGAATGCCGTATTAGAAGTTTTTAATAACGCAACTCTTACTTTTTCCCATGTTTATCAACCAACTACAAATACATTTTTTAAAGAGTGCATTACAATCGCAACATGTTTTCGTGAAAGTATGGCTGATCCAGATTTGTATCCTTATGTCTCTCCTATGAGAGATAAATGGTGTACTTATTATTTTTACATTCCTGATATTTATAAAATAGGTATTATTTGTGATCCACGATTTAAGATTGAAAATTTTAAAATTCTAATTGAGTATTACTACAGTTGTTTTTTAGATAAAAATAGTTATTACTACAGCTATTTAGTAGAATGGAAAAATGAAAGAGATAATGCTATAACTCTTTTTGAGGATTTGTTTAAGGAATATCAAGGGTTATACGGTACTGTACAAGAAGAAACAGCACCACCTCCGCCCCCGAAATCAAAAAAAGGTTTTGCCGGCATAGTCGGTGGGCTTCTTGCAAAGAAAGGGAAACGTGCCCAGTCTTCGACGAGTTCAAGTGGTACAACAGTAAGCTCGCACAACGAACTTGCTATGTACCAGGGTGTGCCATGCGATTACGATGACGACGATGTCGATTTTGACGTGCTCGGATGGTGGAA